ATTCTTTAGATTCTAATTACTGATTAAATATTAACTAAACTCTAATCTACTCTAATCTACTGCGTAGATTTGCAAAATATAAAAGGAAAACTTATAATTCTTAATAATTGCATATATCAACAATATTGTATACTAAGAATTATTGATTTTTTTACCGTAAATTAAAACAAAGAATATAATAGTAGAATAGTGAAATTATATCTCTATTTTTTAAATTTTAGATTTAATAGATTTAACGTTTATTATCAAAATTTTAATCTTTATAATTAATTATTTATTATATCATATCATAAAATATTATTATTAACTAATCCCAGTAGATTAATAATCATAAATATATCTATATATATATAATAATACAAACTATTAATAATATATTAATAATACTATTAATAATACTAACTATTAATAATAATATTAAACTATTGTATTTGACCTGCATCTACTGTAACTTTTTCATAACATTATTTATTTGTATACATATTATTCATAAAATATATTTTAAATATAAATAATCAAGTATAAATTTTAAATAAAACTTAAAATCTGAATAGAAAATATGCAAAATATGTGAATAATATTTATTTTTCCAATCAAAAATTAAAATTCTATAGAGAATATACAAAACAATTATAAATATAAAGAATGAATAAGTATAATAAAAACATCTTTTTAAATAAATAATTATATTTTTTGATATTTTTATTTCGATATTTTTATATTTTTTCTTACTCTTTTATATTCTTTTATACTTTTTTACAATGACATAGCAAAGAGATCTTACTTTTATAAACATGCCAATCATTCTAACTACTGGAAGGAATCAATGCGCGCGCAGATCAGCTCATTGTTTGATAATAAATTAATAGAGAGTAAATACATTTAAAAGTAAAATATTAAAAGTAAAATATTTATGAAAGTAAATGAAAAATATTAGTAAAAGTAAATTTGTTTTTTATAACAGTTTGTTACTGCGTTAAGAATGACTATCCAAGAAAAATTATATTAACAATTTTTAAATATATTTATTTTCCTGAGCCAAAATCATTAAAAATAAAAAAAAAAGTAGACGTTCGTTTTTTTAATATTCGAAATTAATTAGAATGCAAGATTGATTATAACTATTATATCAAAAAAATTTTTTATATGAAAAATAAGCATTAGACTATAAATCTATTTATCGATACAAACGCTATCAATTTACTTTATGATTTTCTGTGAACTTTTTGTAGTTACACAATCGTTGATTGATGTCTATTTTATTTTTATTTTTATTTACATTATAAAAGATAATTATGTTTTTATTTTAAATTGTAATTATAAATATAAAATTAAACAAGATAAAATGTGATTAAATATAGTGATTATAGTAATTCATAATTAATAAAAAAAAAATGAAAAAAAATTAGCAAATAAAAATTAAGAAATTATTTCATTTTACATAATATTTTTTTTTAATTATTGATAATAATCTGACTATATCCATCAAAATTATAAAGAAACATATAAGATTTGATTAACAAAATAATGTAATGATATTGAAAAAATGAATGTAATTTTTGCCTTTTTAACGTTTGTATTTACCCTAGTCTAACATCGAAAGCATTCATACGATATCAAGACAAAAATTCCTATTATATATTAATAGAAATACAAATAAATAAAAAATAAATAAAAAATAAAGATAAATAAAGATAAAATATAATATATAGATAAAACATACAAGATAAATATTTTATTTATGATTTTTTTATATACTATAGAAAAATAAAAAATTATACATTATTTAATGAAGAAAATTATAAAATTTTATTTTTTAATGTTCTATTAATTTAAATCATAAAAAAACAAAAATATTAAATTATAATAAAAATATTTAAACTAGTTGTTCTGATTATGCTAAACAAATATAAATTAATTTTTTAAATTCTTAAATTCAAACTTTTGGAAATTATTAACAAATAAATTTTAAAATAAAATACATATAAAACTAATCTTATTATTTTAGATATATATTAGTATAATTAATCTTTAATAGAAACGAAAAATACAAATCTATAGAAAATCTCTCTAAATCTACTAAAATTTAACAAATTCAAATAAACTCAAATGAGGTAATTCTATTTTCCACGTGTCATTTATCTCTTAAAATATGGATTCGTGTAAACACTGTTTTGGTATTATCAACTTGGCTAAAAAAGAAATTTAAAAAACTTAAAAAAGAACCATTTTTTGAAGTAATTATAATATCCGTTAATATTTTTTTTAATCCAATTTTAAAAACGCATTTGAATATATTTTCAAAAAAAATATAGTATTTCAGTATCATTAATTCTTAGAATTTATTCGAACGAAAAAAATTCTCAAAGGTGATTGTACACAATAAGATAACATATAAATTAATTATTATTATAAGAGCAATATATTTTGATATATGAAAATTCTATATTTAAATTTTAAAAATTTTTATTTTATTAATTAATTTTTAAATAAAGTTCATCATACTAAATATTCATCATAAAAAATTTATTCAAAAGTAAAAAGACGATGATTTATAAAATTACTAAAATTATTAAATTTTTAACAAAAGAATTAATGATCTCAAATAAAAAAAAATTATTTATTAATAGTTTTTATAACGATGTATCATGTAACTATATAATAAGCTTCGAATTCAAATCCCAACGCGCACCATATTCGCGCATGGCATGATGTTTGCATGTGTGCACGTGTGTATGTCAGAATATACTATCTTACGTGACAGCTTTCTCTATCATTTCTTTTAATGCATTTGTACTTCAAAAAAAAAATTATATATAAAATTAAAAAATGTAAAGGAATATGAATTAAAAATAAAAGAAAATGCTAAAAAATATTATGAATATTAATGTAATAACATTTCATCTTTTCATATCTTTTCAGAATTTTATATATTTATTTTATTACTACACATTTTTTTTTTTCGTTTTAATATGGTATATAACTAAAAATTTTCATATGACAAACATGATATAGAATTATTAATTAATTTATATTAATTCAATATGAATTATTAAATAATTCAATTATTTAAATTTGTGATTCATATATTTAATTTATTTTATTATTTTATATTATTTTTTAAAATATTTATTTTTCTTATATTAATATTCAATTTTTTTACATTCATTATTTTAATTCTATTATACAATTTTCTGTATACAAAATTAAAAATAATATTTATAGAAAACATACATCATCTTTAATGCTTGTACATATAACAAATAATAAACATGTATATAGTTATTGATTATACATGATTATACATGCTTTCCTAAATACACAATATTGAATTTGGCATCGTATATTTTGCAGTATTGACGAAAAATGATCGTGAAACTTGATTGAACAATATCACTGACAAAAGATTTCGCAATAGAATTACTTATAAAAACCATAAAGAAATTTTTTTATAAAAAAAAATTTTTTTTAAATTTTTTAATTATATATAAAAAATTAATAAAATCCTTAAAAAGAAATAATTTTATCATATATAAAACAAAATACAAATTTAAAAAAAAAATTTATCGAATTTCTAAATCTAGACAGAAACAATCTAGATTCGTTTCACTAGCAATGAAACTAAAATACGTAAGAAGTGCAATTTATATTTATTATATTTCATTATAATAAAATAAGTTTATGATAAAAACTTAATTGTTTTTCCAATTATTTTTAAGTAAAACTCCTTTAAATAAAATAATTAAACTTTATCACATAAATTAATCCAATATATAAATGTGTTTAATAAAATATAAATCATGATTTCAAAATTTTTTTCATGATTAATAAAAAATTCATATGATAACATTTAAGATACATATTAAAATATATGAAAAGACTACACAATGTAACCAATTTAAAAAATACTTTTTACAATTTTTTTCTATAATTCAATTTTTACTAACATAAAGAAATAATTTGATAAATTTTCAGTAGAAAGAATTGCAATATGAGTATATTTCGCGCTATTGTAAATTCAGCTGTTAATTCAAATATTTGCTGGATATGCGGAAAAATTTTCTAGAATCTGATTTAAAACTTAATTGATTTTTTACACTATTTGTTTGATCTTTGTAACATGATCTCAAAATATGAAAAATGCATTAAATTTTATTGAATAACATATTATAATAATAAATTAAATTTTGTTGATTCTGCAATGAAATTATGCAATAAAATCCATATTTTACAATAATATATTTGTAAAAAAGATAATTTAAAATTAACAAATGAACATGTTCAAAATAATCCTTAAGAATTTTTTAAACGGTAAGATTTAATTAGTGAATATCAAATTTTAATATTAATAATTCCATGTTAATAATGTTAAAATTTCATTCAAATAATAAATATAAATGAGACAATTGTCAATTATAAAAATTGAAAAGATAGGATAATAGCAATAGATGTATGTAAAAAAATATTCAAAAATATTTTATAAAAAATTGAATATAACGAATATTTTTGAAAAATAAATTAGCAATGTAAAAAATATCGAATCATTAACTGCAACTAGGAATTCAATTATAAATTTGAAATATAATGAAATTTAAATCACATAAAAACATAACAAAAAATATAATTACAAAAAGTATTATATATAAATACAAGATATAAAGTAAAAAATGCATTAAAAAATTAGATAAAATATTCAATATAAAGTAAATCATTACTACTAAAAATTTAACAACACATGCATAGAGCTTGTGTTTTTTTGTGTGTTATTTTAAATAGAAGTTAAAGATGATAAAAAAATATTTCAAAGAAAAAAAATTATCAAATAAATATTTATATGATATTTAATAAGTTTAAACTTTTAAAACTAATTTTGCTTTATTGAAATTAATATAGAAAAAAAAAAACTATTCAAAAAGTATAACATAAATCTTGCAGAAAAATGTATAAAATTTTCAAATAATATAAAAATTGTAAGAAAAGTGAAAATTAAGAATACATACCATAAAGTGGGCCGAGGAAGTAATGGATTCAGAACAAGTTGATGGAGGAAACGATACAAGGTAGATCACAAAGGAATGTTGTTTTACTTCGTTTGTGCACACGGAAAGACAGAGAATCGCACTAATAAGCGAACAGTCGCGGTTGCCTGCTTTAAGTAGGCATATTCGTTGAAGAGGATGAAACAAGGCTGACTTTCAGTGTTAGCAGTTTTCACACACGCTACCGGCCCAGCAAGATTAAAATGGTAGAATACCGCAAGGCGCCATCTTTAGTAGATGGCACGCAAGCGCTGTTTTTACTGCCATCTTATAGTCAATTATTGAAATAAAATTTAAAAAAAATAACATACAGAATATAATTCTAGGGATACATAAAATAATTTTTACATAATATTATAATAAAACATAATTTTATTTTGTAAAAATAGAAAAATAAAAAATACAATGAAAATATAAGTTCTTTTATGATAAATATAAAATAATAAAAATATAGATTTTTAATATTATTTAAATTCTTATTTAAAATTTCGACAATATACAATATTTCGAAATGCACTATTACAGTCGAATCTTTTAATTTAAATAAATTGATAGTTATTGATTAATTTGCTAATAAAAGAAATTTCAATCATAAATACGATTTATACTTAAACGAAAAACTGAAATTAATATATGTATATCTTATAGATAAAATAAAAAAACAATTTATATTTCATCTAAAATTTGAAATATTAATTTTAAGTATATGAATCATATTAATATTCTTAAACAAAATTATGAATTTTGTTTAAGAGAAAAGAAATCTATGTTAAAGAAATATCAGACAAATGAGATAACATCAAAAATAATTATAGGTTAGATTTGTTTATAGAATATGTAAAATAATATATTATTCGGGCATATCTATTCTATCCTTTGAATTTTGTTTGGACACAAATGAAATTGTTTAATTCGAATTTTTCTATTATTGTCTATTATTAATATACATTTGATCATGAATTTTGCATTTGATTATATTATGTGATTATATTATGTAAAGATGCATCAATAAAAATAAACAAAGCCGTGATTAAAATCTTAGAGAATTAAAATCGATCTATAATTCTGAACATAATTTAATATTTTATTATCAATTTTTTAATAATTAATACAAATTCGTTTAAATGTAAAATTTATTTAAAACATTATATTTATATTTTGTTTAATATTAATTTTTTATATTTTATATATTTTTATATTTTATATATTTCAAAATATGTTTATAGTAATCTCATATTATAATTTCATATATTATAACAACATATTTATAGAGATATTCTGTAATAATAATAATAATAATAATGTGATATAATGCCGGAATTGTAAAGACAGATTAACGATAAAATATAAATATTATATTTGTTTATAAATGTATTATATATCTGTACGTATATATATTATTTAATATATTAATAATATATTTTTTATTTATATAATAAATTTATCATTTCTAATTCTAAATCAGATTTAATACAATAATTATTTTTATCTTCCATATCTATGATATACATAAATTATTTTTAATTTTTTTACAATTAATATCATTCTTATTATATATTTTATTAATATTAATATATTTTATTTGATTTTCTTATTTATATTAATGATTCATTGCTTCATAGCAAGGAAAAAATAAAAAATATGAAATAGAATATCAGTTGAACTAAGAATATATACAATTCCTTTTCATTTCTCAGTACTATTCTAAACAAATTGAAAGCTGAAAAGATCTAATTAAAAAATTAAAAAAAAAAAAACCATTGATAATCGAATCAAATTCAAAATTATAATGTCAATCTAATTGTTATATATATTTTATAAAAAAAATAAATAATTTTAAATTTAATATTCAACATTTTATATATTCTCAAAAATATTTATTTAAATTATTTGAAAATTTTACTTATAGTATCCATTATGTTACAAGATTTATTTTATATTTGGCGTCAAAGAAAGATTATGTATCGAAGTTTGATGTAATTTTGATGCAAATTTGATTCAACCCAAGCTTTAAATACAAGCTTTAATAGTTATAAAATCTATATATAATATATATATATAATAGTGACATTAAATGATACCAATTGATACCATTTTATAATCAAATTCCTTGCTAAATAATAAAACAATATAATAATTTACTTTAGATATAATTCGTTATAATTGATTTCATTGATTATAGCAATTTAAATTTAAATAACTTAATTAATTTGAGATTTCTTTAAAAAAAAAATTCCATCCACAATTAATCGAAAGAAAATCGTCAAAATTTAATAACTATTTATTAAGTTTTCATGTTTTATTTCATCTAATATATATATATTATAATATATATATTTTATATATTTTATATATTATAAATTTATATATTATATATATTTTATAAATTTATATATATATATAAATTTAATCTTAGATCTGCAGACACAGACTCTATTATTTCTATTATTATTAAACAGAACGAATTTTCAAGAAGAATATATGATATTATTTTCTTGACATTACACATTAGTATTGCAGAAACATTAGTGATCAGACTTCGGTCAAAATTAAATAACGAATCATGTCACATGCAAGGCTATAGTGTAAAAAAAAGAAGAAATATTCAAATTAATATATAAATAAATATAGAAAATAATTACGCTACATTATTCATATTATTGCATTGAATTATTTTAGCATATTATTTATGTAATTGTTTATGTAATTTATTATAACACAACATAAATTACTAGAAGTATTTCATAAAATGACAAAAATTAAAATTAGTTTTTTGATTAATTATATAGAATTATTAAACAATTTACTTATAATATATAAACAATTTATTTTTATCATGATTTGTATTTAAAATAGGCTCTATAAAAATATATTTATTAAAGATAGCAAATAAAAATAACTTTAACGATTTTATTATTTATTCTATATAAATATTATTTATATTTTTAAAAAATAAATATACCTATTATTTTTAAATTTTTTTATTCTATATTTGATGAGATAAAATCTAATTTATAAATATAATATTTATGTATTTAATAAAATATAATTAATATATTTATTAAGATATAATTCATGAAAATATACAATTTAATAAAAACTTGATGAGTTTCTTATCTTGTAATTTTATTATCATAGAATAACACACTAGAAAATTTTACTTAACCTTTTTCTTGATTAGTTTTATAAGATTTTTAAAGTTATTTTAAAAAATAATTACTGTTACTTTTACCATATTAATAAATATATATAAAATATAATATATAAATAATATATATAAAAAAGAAAAATGTGATGAAAAAATCAACAATAATGAAAAATTATTGTTGAAATTATTTTAGATAATTTTAGCATTTGACAAAATTTATCTCTACATTGCGTATAAAAGCTTGTACATATACTTTATAAAAAATGAAACGTTTAACTGAAGAAAAAACAAAACTTGTTCTAGAAAAATTAACAAAATAGTAAGTATAATATATAATTTTTTCAAAACTATTATAATTGATTATATGATTTTTATAATAAAATTTTAAATAATAAATATAATATAATAGATTACAAATGTGTAAATTCATATTTTCATTACAATTATAGAAATTAAATAAATAAATTCATTTATTCTTCAAATATCATAATGAATATTTTATTTTAAAAATTTTATATATTTTTCTATATTATATATTATATGTATTTTTTCAAACATTTATATGCTTAATTTTTCATAAATATATAAATATTTGCAGTCTTATATTATATATTATATTATAATTAAAAAAGTTAAAAATATAAAAAATATAATTGATAATAATAATTTTAATTGTGCTAATAATCTCTATAATAAATATTTAAAAAAAAAATAAATAGAATTTTAATTTTATTAACAATTATTATTAGTATTATTAATACAGTATTTAGTATTATTAGTATTATTAGTATTTATTAGTACATATCTTAAATTATTCTGTATTATGTTTAATGTAATATTTGTTTTATATATATTTTATAATGTAAATTAAAAAATAATTATGATATAATATCTAATAAAATGATTTTATGAATTTTTTTAAATGTTCAGAGAAATTTAATTAAAAAATAATAAAAAGTTTATTAATATTGCTAAATAAAATAAATTATTTGTTATTTGTTATAATAGAAATAAACATAAACAATTACATTTTACTATATTTATTATGATATAATTTGATATATTTTTGATAATTTTGATTAATTATGATATTATGTATAATATTATTTATGTGATTATATCATATGATTATTATATATAAAATTTATTTTTAGTATTGGAAGCAATGTAAAATTATTACTTGATCGACCAGATGGTGTTTATTGTTTCCGAGAAAAGAAAGGCAGAGTATATTATGTTTCTGAAAAGATTTTATCATTAGCAAGTATGGTAAATCCAGAACGATTAGCAAGTGTTGGCACATGTTTTGGAAAATTTACAAAATCTGAAAAATTTAGATTACATATTACTGCATTATATCATCTGGCTCCTTATGCACAAGTAATTATATTGTTTTTAATCATTTATATTTGAATATAGTTAAATTTCATATTATTCTTTTATTGATAATTTTTCATATATATAGATATAAAGTAAAATAATATTGAAATCTAATGATTAAAATAATATGATTTTTATTATTTTATTAATTTATTTATCTATATTTATGTATATTTATTTTTTAATATTTTTAAAGCATAGACAATGATTTCATATTTATTCTATCTCAAATATGTCTTTTATGTATTTTATTGATATATTGGTATATTTACTTATGCATTTATTACTTTATTACTTTATATTATAATTATCTATTAATTTTATCAATTTTTATATAGATATTAATAATAAAATATCTTTATGATGCTAAACAGAACATAAATATTTCATTTTAATGAAATTATTTTATAATAAGATTTTATAATAAGATGTTTTTAATTCGAAAATTTACTTTTTGTAATATGCAAAATATAAATTAAAATTACTGATAAATATATTAAATCATATATATTCAATACATCATACATTAAATACATTTAAATGAATAAAAAATTAAATATTATTAATATCGATTCAATCTTAAATAAAAATAAAATACAAAGATTATAAATAAAAATTTATGTTTATGTAAATATATTTTAT